CCTCCCAAAGTGCTGGGATTACAGAATTGAGCCACCGCGCCCGGCCGAATTCTGAGATCTTAATGTGCCCTCGCCCGAGTAGATGGCACCTAATGTGTCGTTTTTTATCACTAGCCCCCATCCCACCCTCTTCCCGCTTCTGAGTCTCTGAAGTCCATTATGTCACTCTGTATGCCAGCAATGTCCAATCTTTTTGGCTTCCTTCTTTTTGGAAAAAGAATTGTCTTGGGTTACACACTAAATACACTAATACCAACGATAGTTGATGCGCTTAAAAAAAATCTCAAAAAACCTCAATGCTTTAAGGAAGTTTACAGATTTGTTTTGGGCAGCATTCAAAGCTGTCCTGGGCCGCATGCAGCCACGGGCCATGGGTCCGACAAGCTTGCTGTGTGTCTCTGTGTACTCATAGCTTAGCCCGCACTAGTAAGTGAGAACATAACAGTTTGTGATTTTCCGCTCCTGTGTTACTCCACTTAAAATAATGGCCTCCAGCTCCATTCAAGCTGCAACAAATGATAGTATTTTGTTCCTCTGAATGGCTGAGTAGTGTATATATACCGCATTTTCTTTCTCCACTGATTGCTGGATGGGCACTTATGTTGGTTCCACATCTTTGCAATTGTGAACTGTGCTGCTATAAAACTACATACGCAAATGTTTTCATTTTTTTCTAGAAAGACACCTTTTCCTTTGGGTAGATAACCAGTAGTGGAATTGTTGGATCAAGTAGTAGATCTACTTTCAGCTTTGTAAGGAATCTCCACACTGTTTTCCACAGAGGTCGCACTAATTTATATTCCCACCAGCAGGTATGTGTTCTCTTTTCCCCACATCCATGCCAACATCTATTGTTTTTTGACTTTAAAAATGGCCATTCTTGTGGGAGTCAGGTGGTATCTCATGGTGGTTTTAATTTGCATTTCCCTGATGATTCGTGATGTCGAGCATTTTTTCATATGCTTGGCCATCTGTACATCTTTTGAGAAATGTCTATCATGTCCTTTGCCCACTGTCTGATGGGATTGCTTTTTTCTTGCTGATTTGAGTTCCTTGTAGATTCTCAATACTAGTCCTTTGTCAGATGCATAGTTTGCAAATATTTTCTCCCACTCTGTTGGCTGTTTACTCTGCTGATTATTTCTTTGATGTAACTACTTTAAATGGTCAAATAGTTATTCAAAGCTAATTAAAATAGCAGCTTTTGAAAGGGCATTCCTATCCCCATTTTCTGATATCCAGAAATAACTACTTTCAACCCTAATTAATTCTTTAGTACTTCAGTGTGTTGTCTGTTGTTCAATACAAATTGTAACATCAAATTTGTAGTGGGAGGGCTGGGTGTGGTGGCTCATACCTATAATCCTAGCACTTTGGGAGGCCGAGGAGGGCAGATCACCTGAGGTCAGGAGTT